AAAATCGCTAAAACTTTGAAACTAAATATATTTTCAAAATTCCAAACAGCATTTGCTTGTTGTTAAAGTAAATGTAGTTCACGGTAAAAGTTTCGAAGGAATTTATTTTTCGAGCCCCATGTCAGTGGGCGGTTTTTAGAGACACACGCTCTTAACATTGGTCAATAACAACAAAAACAAGTAGCAAAAAACGTAAACGAGAACGAAATATCACAACTTGCAAGAAATCGTACTTTGTTGCAAGAAATCGACCAAGAACTCCCAGGCGTCTAGCATTTCAAGTGCACTCTTCCTATCAACCCCTTCGCCCTTCTCTCGCCACTACAATACTTCATGTAAACTCGCCATATTCGCATCGCTGTTTTTTTGCAAAGAGACCCCTGAGTACGAGGCAGAGTTATGCATGCCACGTCACAACAGGGATCACACAAAAATTTGATCTTAACAAACACTAACCGTTTTGCACTCAAAACTATTGTCTGTCTGCCTTCGAAATACCAAGATCACTCAAAACCTTTAAAACATCTACCAATCAATATTTGGTTTGTCCAACCCTTGGTTTACATTGCACCCACACATATGCATGCAAAATACTTTCTAATATGAAAGGGGTGGTGCATTTGTTATCGATTTTCAAAATGTACGCACTGATTGCACTCCACTCCGTTCAATCTTTCTACCTTACTTACGCGGAATCAAACCCAGATGAACGAAATGTATCCGAAACACACGTGGTTGGAGTCAAATTATCTTTGCAGAATTTTCAATTCGCTTGAACTCCTCCGCGTACTATTTTCTTTCTTATATCAAAAGAAGCGTTGTACACTGCAGTTGTGAAAGTCCGTGTGCATTCGATCTGAAACAGTTGCTACTTTGCTGTCGAAACATTTCGAATGTTTACATGAAAATAGAGACAAGTCATGCATTTTATAACCTCGTAAACTGTATGAGCCCCTATTTTTAAGCTTATACCTAAGATATCAAATAAAAATACATGAAACAGAGAACATTTTTAGAAAGTTTTATCGTGAGGCCACTGCCAGTTTTTGAAATATATTTATTTCTTTTCCGGTCATCACCAAAATTACACTAAAGTCGTAAAGAGTAAAGCCCGGCTTGAATATACAACAAATTTTGAGTCTCGTCAAGTACAGAAATATTTAACGTGTAACCAAAATATGCTCATGAAATGGAAATTAAGAGCTAAACTTTCAAACTAGACCCTTCTCGAGGCGGTTTTCATGAAGGAAGTTCACCTTTCGGCCTTGGATTCTTGGCAAAAATTTGACCACAACACGTGCGAAGCAACTGGGTCTCAAAGACTTAGCTAAAACATTGTGAGCCCCTAATTTCCAAACGATATGTTTGACACCTACAAATGCCGAAAAGGTTTTTCTTTTCATGTAACTATATTTGAATTTGAGGCCACGGGCTACTTTTAAGAAAATACAGTTCAAAGTCAAGCTATTTTTACATATTTTCAAAATTTGTCAAATTTCGCGAGCTTGTATTTTGAACATAGACCACTGAAGTTACATTAAGAAACATAAGATGGAAAATTTGAGGCATATAAAATAAATTTCAACTTACATTTCATTCTCATATCACGTTTTTCTTCGTTTATTACGGTTTTAAGCAAACCATAGCTCGACGTATACGGTATTTTCTCCCATGTTCACGTCGCCATATTCACTTCTTCCAATCACTCGATTACAAAAAAAATCCCAAAACAAAGAATTCATGATCGATTTTTAAAAGAATAACCGTTAATTTGTAAATCGTTGAATGGAAAGCAAAAAATCATCAGCTAAAACAGCCTCTTGCTAACTTTCAGCTTTGTTTTGAATGCAAATGCAATGGAGCTTTGTTTCTGCCCGCGATTTTTTGGTCAGCGACGACAAATTTCCAACCTGTTTATAACCCAACTACTACCGAAATGTACGCCAGTGTTTCTAGATTAATGACTTCCGACGATGTGTACAGGCCGGATACCAAAATCGTCGAAAATGCTTGAAGAATTAGAAGCCTTTTCTTAGTGACTGGTGTTCGATGGAAAATTGGAAATGTTAAGCCCACGAGTCTTTCAATGTTTAGAGTCAAGAGCGCTGTCATGGAGAACACATATAGATTACCAAATATGTTATACCTTATCTGTTCAAGGAGTTCACTACAACCTACGTTAGATCAGAATATTGTTGATAATATTATCACAGGATGAGTGATTGTAACTACAGCCAGATCAAAACAAGATAAAACAAAAATCATAAAGTGGCATAGTTTCTTTCGAAGCTGTGACGACCTCCTTAGACTGAATATAACCACAGTATTCAGAAATATTCCTGCGACCATGAAGGAAACATTCACAAGACACAGAAATAGCGTGTTAATAAAAGTCAGTTTGAATTCATTGTATGTCTTGTGTCATGTAACTCTTTCGCGTTTTTCCTTTTAATACAGCACGCAGGGTTTATTTTAACGTCCAGTTCTACACAAAATGTGAAGTTCTGAATTTGTGCAACTCTAAAAAAAAATTTGTGCAGTTGAAAAAAATACGAACTTTCAGGATATGGATATTTATTGTAGAATCATTAATTTAAAGTAATCGAATTAAAATATAAATGGATACGCACAACTTCAATACAAAAGCAGTATGCCAGAATATTTATTTCAGTTCTATAGCAAATTTGGTTTAACAATAACTAAAATGTTTTCTTTTTTTCTTTGCTGGTTCCTCTTCACAGTCTGCCAACTTCTCTTCGGTTTTCGAAGCTTCCGAAAAGATTCCCTTGAAATATTGCTGCTGCTTTCCTTTTGGACAATCTCGGGTGCGATGCGCTCTTTCGTTCATCCAACTCATCACGGCTGGTTTAGGATCCCACTGATCCAACGGCGGCATGTTTTAATGCACATACAAATTGAGGTTTTCGGTATCAAGGAGCATTCGAGAACGACCAGAGGACGTCAGTGCCACACTGCAGCTAATCAGACGTTCTACGTCTGCGCTATGTGGCTTGGCTGCAAGGATCCTTGCAAATGCAATTTTGAGGTTAGGCAACTGATCGGACTGGACAAACCTTTGGAATCGTTCTCTAAGTGATAGCTTTCTGAAATCCTCTATATCTTCCATGCCAAGAACATCATCAAACTCCATTCCAAGTTCCATTAAGTCTAGATCTTCGAAGAATTGCTTGTGGACCTCCTTCAAATCAGCTGATTGCTGCAAATTTACCTTTGGGTCAAAAATTCTTTCAGAGACTCGATGATTTCATTCTTGATTGCATCAATGTTCCTTGTGTCAGTGACATAAAGATGGTGGATGTGTCGACGCCTTGCATTTCCACTGTTTAATTTAACTCCCTTTAAAGACATGGTTCCATCTTCTTCCTCCAAAACTTGCTCGCTTAGAGCTTCAACCCATCCACCGAGGAGAGCCGTTTCTTTTAATCCTAACACCTTTACCTTCACCTTAGATGTGTATCTGTCCATGTCAATTAATGTTGTGGCATGGAGTCCGATTGTAGTTGTTGCTGGTATCGTGAAAATGCAGCAAGCAAATTTGCAATGAAGGTCAGCAGGTCAAGATTGGATTTCCTGGTTAAAAAACACATGAAACCTGCAGCTTCCTTCTCATCTCTATTTTTGAAATAGGCAACAAGAGCATGCCAAGATCTTAAGACCACTTTTATTAACGACGATGTGAATTCTGTCCAACGCTCTTCGAAGACACGAGGTAATGATAACACGCAGCAGCCCTCGGCATTTGCAGCATCAGTAAGTTCACGTGGATGTCCGGATTCCAGATGCATGGAAAAATGTCGATATGTTTGAAAGCTGCTGAATTAAATGGCGGCTTACTTCCTGAATTGAATTGGTGACAGATTTCCAAGCCAGCTGCGAACGGTGAGCAGCGCACCAAATTTTAATCATCGGTGTTGGTACTTCCTCGCCCAAAGGAAGGTTGAAAACTTGAAATCACGATCAATCAAAGCCCAAAGACCATTTTTCTCCCCAGTATTTACTGATTCGCCGTCAGTAACAAAAAAAGAAGCACGTTGAAACACTTTTCTTGCTTTGAGTCAACAAAGCTTCTTCTTCACCTTCGGTATTTTCGCCAAGGATTGCTGAACATGCCGAAAGTATAGCCTTGTGAACCCCAACTGCTCCTCTTTCGTTTGGCTCTCCCGCGCCGAAAAAGATATTGTTTTCTTTTCCGTCTCTAGGTATGGTCTTAGCCATTATATATGTCTTGTCTATCTGCGTTCTATCAACCGATGTGTCACATCTTAAAGAGATGACTAGCGAGTTTGACATATTTGAAGCAAGTGAATTTCTATCTGACTTTACAATGCATTTGAGGAATTCTCTGTGTGCACTTGGTGAAAAGTATTGGAAATCATTAGGCATGTCGTTTATACTCCAATCATCAAAAGAAAAGGCACTTGCTATTCGACTTACAACCACACATGAAGGGAAAGAATTGACAGACAAAGTAAGTCTCTTAGCACTATGGTAAACGTGAAAAAATAGGCTACCAGCTTTCACAGCCAATTGTGCATCTGCGATCGATAATGCTCTTCCAGTTGGTGTCAATGACGTCATATGAAGCTTTTTCGGTCCTTTCAAAGACAACATCCTCTTTTTCTTTTTTGCTTCGCGATGAATCGAACTGTTCAGATGATCGGAAACGACGTTTTTATGGTATATGGTTCCCAGTTCTTATGCAATCGCTGGAACTTTAGCTCTCCTGCTGAAAATCTTGACGACATATGCATTGGAGTTCGAAGAGCATGTCTCACAACGCACGTAGTGGCGGCCATTCTTGTGTAAGTGTTTCAGATTATCCTCTTTAGGGTCTTTCTCTGATGTTTTTGCAGTTTCACTTGGTCCTTGATCCTCATTATTCATTATAGTTAAGTGTTTATCGAAAGATTTTTCATTATTGAAAAAATTAAAAAAGGCGCGAACCGTTTTGTGCCATCGTATTCCCTTAGTGGTGTCACTGGAATTCGCAAGTATCGCTATATTTCCTACATGATCGGATAAGGTAGCTGATGTCTTGTGAATTTTATAGTATTTGTATTTGTTGACCTTTCAGTATTAAATATAAACTGCAAGTGCTCAGCTATATCTATATAATGTCTAAATGTCCAGTCTGAAACCCTGGGTTCAATAACTTTTTTTGTGTGCCTGTAACCTAAAATATCTTAACATTGAATTTTGAAATTTTAATGCTTCTGCAAAATATCTGCATATGTATGCGAAATTATTTCGTGAGCCTCGTCGCCTCGCTTAGGTTATAAATACTTGTGTTAAGTTGAGTGAACTGGCTGTTATATAGTTTTATTACTTTATCTACCATCATTGATTAATATTAACAGTAAAAAACTAATTAATTAAACTGCATTTGTCATTGTCAATAACTGGCAATAAACTTTCCATCAATAACTTATAACAATTAACAAGTTTACAAATTTGCGTTCCTGACGCTATTGACCCTAAAACCCCACGGTCCTGACGCTATTGACCCTGCTGAAACCATTGGGTATGCCGCAAAGACAAAATGTGCAGTTCTAAATTTTTCATAAAATAAACCCTGACAGCGTGTTGTGTCTCACAATGAATAGAAGAATATATGTGAAAACTTTTATATGCACCTGCGCATTTATTGATTTTAAAAACAACTTTTCTGTCGACATGTTGAAGTACACTGCAAAAAATGAAATTCAAGTCTAGAATAATGTTCTTATATTTTAGATTATTTTTCTTATTTTAAGTAATTATTTCTTATCAAGAAATATTTCAAGGAAAAAAATCTCGTTTTAAGAACAAAAATCTTAAAGTAAGAAAATATAACTGGGCAAGAATATTCTAGAGAATATTTTTTTTATTTTAAGAATAACATTTTTCCAACCTAGAATAATATTCTTCTAATTAGAAAAACAATCTTGAAATAAAGTTTAATAATAGTTTATCGCATAGTATTAAAACCTTTCTTTAGGTAATTTTAGCATGGCTAGCACGAGATATGATATTGAATTGAATTGAATAAACTTCCTTCTATTGTATATCTTTCACTTTTATTGTCAAATTTGAAGCTCAACGGCTCTGTCCTAAATTGTCGCAGTTTCGACATGGCGGATATCACAATCGGAATACCATATGGCCAATGGCAATGAATTGCTATTGAAAAATAACATTTATAGAATTCAAATCATTTGCAACAATCGCCTATCTACATGCACTTTAATGGAGATGGTATGACACTGCAAAAAATGTTGTGTAAATTTGCACAAGATCTTGCGTAAATATCACCGACACGTTATGACATGGAAATTGCTAGATAGTATACTTCAAAATAAGGTTTCCGTTTTTATATCATTTTTTAAATAAGTTAGGGTTAGGTTAAGGTTAGGTTGGGGTTGGGGTTAGGGTTAAGGTTAGTATTAGGGTTAAGCTTTAGTTTTGCGTTAGGATGGTTTTTTGTACGTTATAAAAACGGAAACCTTATTTTGAAGTATACTATCTAGCAATTACCGTTATGGAATGCTATCACATGACGGGGGGCCCCCCACATGACATGCGATACGTTAAACCATAAAAAAATTTATATTATCGCAATTGGCATTTAATTTTTTTAGAAAATCTATCTAATTATTCGCTTATAAGAATCTTTGTTTATTTTTGTTTATTTTCTTTGCTTTGAATTTACAAGAATATTCTTACATTTTTACCAACAGTCAAGTCAAGAAACCAAGCAAATCGTTACTCAACAGTGCTCTCGCGTCGTCAATGGCGTCTCTTCACACTCGAGCGCGGTTTTATAACAAACGTTTATTATGAGCTTTTCAGTCCTCATTTCTACATATGTAATGTTTTTAAAATACGCCATTAGATTTGTCCTTTCTTGTAAATGTTTATATGCTTTGCACCGATTTAATTACTTGTCACTACGTCTACGGGTCTTGTTTTAATATAAGATTGAAAGAAACAGTATTGTATTGTCTGCCGTCTGGGACTAGAGCCCAATATTAGCAAATGTAAACATTTGATACTAGCCAAACAGAGAAAGTCTGTCAGTGATTATAAAATTTTGGATTTAGTACATAGTATTCGGTGATTATAGTCAGGCTTTAGCCTTTTTCTTGGTCTTTATTAATCATAATATTTTCCTAATATACTACGTAAATCTATATATCACAAATTTACAGTGTCATACGCGCACAGACTGTCATACGAATAAACATAAATTTCCGAGTTTTCTACTTCTACTAACATTTTTAAAGTTTTCATTGTGAATCATCTGTTTATTTCTAGTTCATTAATCATTAATATGCTCTAAAAAACAAGGCTCTCAAATATATTTGTATATTTATTTGATAGTGTCATAGTGATATGTACTATTTACAACATGAGCGGCCGTGTTGTATCGGATATACAAACTCGAGCCGAAGGCGAGAGTTTGTATGTCTGATACAACACGGCCGCTCATGTTGTAAATGACTTAAAAAACGACTCATCTTATGAGTTCATTGGCGAAGTAATTTTAAAAATAAACATTGTCTAAGCCGAGAAAATCATAGTTAAAGTTTATGTAAATCAACATGAATCTGTATCACATATACAGATACGACACGCTTATGATTTTTCTTTGTGTTTTCTTCATGAATTATTAATGAGTTTTTTAATGCATTTACAAGCAATCCTGGATATGATAAAGACGATACAAGCTACCATTAAAAAATAACGGTATTCTATATTCCGCAAAGCAAAAGATTTAAATCTCACTTGTATTATTAAGAATATATATAAAGCAAAAAATTTAAACTTGTGTGAGTTGTGTCAAAACGAAAGCTGTTTATAGAATTTATAAATGTTGTAAACACTACTATTAATATAAAGTGCCCATTGAAAGACATAATATAGTATACTGTCGTTTGACTTATCTTTGATGTATGATTTTAATACTGTAGATTTTCAACAGACAGCTAGACTTTAACATATACCATGATTGTACGTTTCAGCCATGCCAAGGGCCAATGCAGGAAGTTTTATAAGCTTTTATAGTCAACAATCTGGATACAGTTGGCGTCTTGGCGATATTTCGGAAATCAAAAGATCTCGCTATTTCGTTGCAGTTCCATGCCACATCTCATCAATAAATAAATTGTTTTGGTTCAAGTATCTAGATATACTTTACTAACAGTTAAATAAATGAATAACCACATTGTTCGGTCTAGATATATATATTCCCCTGTACTGCTTTTATATTACCACGCCGTCTACGTGTGCCTTCTCAGTGACAAGTTGAAATCTGATCCAACTTGCTTGAATTGTAACTCGACACTAGATTAGAAAGTCACATCACGATAAATATTAATTTTTAATTGCAGTTCTTTTCACGAATAATCACAATTTCTTTGAAGATTCAATGGTTATTGTTTATATTTATAGAGCGATCTAATTAATTGTGACAATATATACTCACTCCCCCGACCCTAGTAAACAATACGCCATTTTACGCAAAATCCGCGGGTCACGTGACCAGCCCATACCAGGGTATTTCGCTCCCCAAGAGCAAATACCGTGTGTACGAGGTTGATTTACTCATTCTATCTTGTGGCTATTGCCTCAGTGTTGGCCTGAACGTGGCTGCTAAAATTTGAATTTGCGCGGGTGAGATTTAGGCAGCGTTTACACTGTACCGTTTTCGTAGCGTTCTCGTATTGTTCTTAATCCTCAAGGGAACGCAAGACAATAGTCTAGTTCTCTCGAACAATACGAGAACGCTACGAAAACGGTACAGTGTAAACGCTGCCTTATATTTAACAATTATTCGCCAAAGGCGAGGTGATTATCGGGGAATATTCGCCGAGACGAAGTCGAGGTGAATATTCCCCGATAATCACCGAGCCTGAGGCGAATAATTGTTTTAGTATTTTTACACAAGTCTTTTGTGTTATTTGGTACTGAATTTATTTTAATTTCGCTTATTTCTTTATCAGTCAACTTCCACAAAACGGCTAGCCGCCATTTTGAAAATTTCAGTTTTGTTATATTCACCTGTAGGTGAACATAACAGCTTAGTATAATTACATAGGTGATTATTGAAAATTCTCCACGCTGATTGGTTGCCGTTGAGGTGATTATTACGCGATAATCACCTAAGCGATTTTCAAAATGGCGGCCGAAGCCTTTTTGTCAATTAAATGACGAAGAAATATGTATTTTCTTATTTTTTTTCCAAATAATCACCTATGAAATTATACTAAAACAATTATTCACCTCAGGCTCGGTGATTATCGTGAATAAAAACCTCGACTTCGTCTCGGTTTTTATTCACCGATAATCACCTCGCCTTCGGCGAATAATTGTTAATTAATACGTCAACTTTGACCAGTTGTAGGATTTGTTATGTTCACTTGTGCAAAAATAC